CAATATCAGTTATCCTAAACTCATAGCGTCATTAACAATAATTATATCATAAGAAAATGAATATTTTTTGAGGAAACAGCTGGTTATCAACATTTCAAAAATGTGAATAATAAATTGAATTATAGTTAAATTATAGAAAAAAAATGTGAAGGGGGACATAGGCGCTCGCAAGCAAATGAGTTTAAGGAATCATTTAAAAAAAATTATAATAATATTAGGAAGAATTCAATTTTAAAAGTAAAAATGAGAAGGGGGACATGGACCCCCGCGGGCAAATGAATTTTAAGAATGAAAAAAAAAAATGTATGAAAAAATGAGCATTAAAAACAAATATTAAAGACTGCAGTCTACAATATCAGTTATCCTAAACTCATAGCGTCATTAACAATAATTATATCATGAGAAAATGAATATTTTAAGGAACCAGCTGGTTATCAACATTTCAAAAATGTGAATAAAAAATTGAACTAGAGTTAAATTATAGAAAAAAAAATTTGAAGGGGAGCATGAGCGCCCGCGGGCAAATGAGTTTAAGGAATCAAAAAAAAAAATGATTAAAAAATTTTTTTATAGAATTCAATTTTAAAATAAAAATAAAAATGAGGAGGAGGGCATGGGCACCCGCGGGCAAATGAATTTTAAGAATCAAAAAAAAATGATTAAAAAATTTTTTTATAGAATTCAATTTTAAAATAAAAATAAAAATGAGGAGGGGGGCATGGGTGCCCGCGGGCAAATGAATTTTAAGAATCAAATAAAAAAAATTATAATAATATTAGATAGAATTCAATTTTCAAAATAAACATGAGAAGGGGGCCATGGGCAACCGCGGGCTAATTCATTTTAAAAATCAAAAAAAAAAATGTATGAAAAAATGAGCATTAAAAGCAAATATTAAAGACTGCAGTCTACATTATCAGTTATCCTAAACTCATAGCGTCATTAACAATAATTATATCATGAGAAAATGAATATTTTGAGAAACCAGCTGGTTATCAGCATTTCAAAAATGTGAATAAAAAATTGAACTGGAGTTAAATTATAGAAAGAAAAAAATGTGAAAGGGGCATGGGCGCCCGCAGGCAAATGAATTTTAAAAATAAAAAAAAAAATGTATGAAAAAATGTGCATTAAAATCAATATTATAGACTGCAATATTGGTATTCAAAATATCAAAATACACAAAATAATGAAAAAAATATGATCAGAGAGCTATCGACTTTATCTCAGTACAATTAAATAATGAGTTAATTGAATGAAAGTTATTATGGATACAAAAAATAAGGGAAAGTGATCTAAGGGCTCTTTTACGTTAAACCTTTTTTTTACTTAAATAGCTTAATGTTTGAATTAAAACTATATTGTCTTTCAAACTGTAACTAGCATAAATGTTGAAAAAGTATACAAACAATTCAAATATAATTATAATTATATTTTTGTTTTGCTTTTAGTAAATATGTTGGAAAAAATAGATTAAGTTCAATGTGGAAAGAACTAATAAGAGGTGAGAAGAAAACATATTGGGAATTTTTAGACAATATAATTTTAATACACTAAACCATATATTAAA